CCGCCCAGGGGGGAAGAACGTAGAGAAAATGGGGAGTGAAGTTGAGCCCGGGAAAGAAGGGAGGGGTGGGGGGAAGGTGTTTTTAATTTTGGTTTTATTTCTCATTATCCTACTCTGATTTGACTGGTAATAAATTAAACTAATTTCCCCAAGTCAAGCCTGTTTTGCCCGTGATGGTAATTGGTGAGTGATCTCTCCCTGTCCTTATCTTGACCCACGAGCTTTTCATTGTATTTTCTCTCCCCTGTCCAGTTGAGGAGGGGAGTGATAGAGCGGCTTTGGTGGGCACCCGGCGTCCAGCCAGGGTCAACCCACAACAATTATTTAAAACCAAGGAGTCAGAAGGAGAGGAAGGGCTCCCTGCTGCTCGCAACTGGCCTCCAGGTCTCAGCGTCTTCCCTTGTGTCCAAGGCTCTTATCGAATCGCTTGGTGGGAAGAGACCTCAGGAGATCTCTACTCCAACACAAACCAGGGCCAGCACTGATTTCAGACCAGGTTGCTCAGGGCTTTGTCTAGTCGGGTCTTCAAAAGCTCCAAGGATGGAGATCCCTCAGTCTTTCTGGGCCCATCTCAACACTTGCCTGCCCTCACAGGGAAAACTAGTTTCCTTATATCCAGCAGGAACCTCTCCTGTTTCAATTTATGACTGCTGTCTCCCATCCTCCTGACACGCTGCTCAGTGAAGAGCTTTGGTCCAACTTCTCAACAACCTCCTTGCCGGTACTGGGGAGACCTAACAGCAGCTCTCCAAAGTCTCTCCTTTTCCAGGATGAAGAGACTCAGTTCCCCTAGCCCCTCCTCATATGTTCAGCCCCCTGACCAGTTTTGTGGCCTCTGCAGGACTTGCCCCAGTTTATCAACATCTGTCTTGTACTGGTGAGCCCCACACTGAATACATCATTGCTGAGTAAGGGGAAAAATCACTTTCCTCCATCTACTAGCCATACTACTATGAGTACAGGCCAAGACGCTATCAAGCCTCTGGGACCACCAGCCTGGAGGCACAGTCCTCCCCAGCATGACTTCTTGGCATGAAGTGGCATTTCAAATCAGGTGTTCAAATGGATCAAATGAGACACTCAAGGGTTTGGGGAACCCGTAAGGAAGGCAATTTTGGAAACATCACCAACCCCACAGAACTCACAGCCTGTTGCTGAATTCCCGATGCCAGGATGGTTTCCAGAGTGATGTTGATGTAAGTGCTGTAGTAAGGATGAGCTGGTGGCAGGTCCTGGAAGTTCAGGATGAGCGATGTGTTGTCCTTGATCACCTCTAGCATATCTGCCAGCTTGCAGACTGACTGGTTGGCAGCTTCCAAGTAGTCAGACCTTGAAAGAGACCCGGCCGTCCAGAAAGGGTCATTCTGAAAGCAAAGCACATCCCGGCATTAGTGCCACAAAGCCCGGATTCCTCCAATACAGGTGAAGACCCTTTTCTATCCCACCTTGGCAACAGCTGACAGCTACGCTTGATGACCAACTTGCAGCTTGCTGAAGCTCCGTGCCTCAGTTTCCTTACCTAAGGGGAGGTCACTAAAAGCAAGGTGTGCTGGGCAGGTCATGATGACCAACTTGCAGCTTGCTGAAGCTCTGTGCCTCAGTTTCCTTACCCAAGGGGAGGTCACTAAAAGCAAGGTGTGCCCCATTTTCAGGGCAACAGCAGAGCTATAAGGTAGTAATGTGATTTTCCTAGGTAGTAAGCTAAAAATGTACTTTCTTACACTATGTACGTGATCACCAAGGATTCTTCAGAATCCAAAAATAAAAAGGACCAGCTATTATATAACTAAGAGTGATCAGACAGGAGCTATGGGCTGTTGGAAGAGATGGGCTCCTGACTTAAGGACGTTCAGGAATGACTCTGCTTCAAAGTACATCCCAAAAAGCAGCCTTCCAGCTGCTGTCTTGGCCCTCTTCATCTGCCAAGCAGCAGTTTTCCCTGCATTCCCACTCCCACTCCCACATCTGCAGGCCAACCAAGTTTCTGTGCAGCAGCACACGCAGCTGTAATACATAGACCTCCCCATCACACCTCCAGACCAGCTCAGATCAGAATGGCAGTGAAGCTACAGTGGTTTCAGGCTTCCACCAACCAAGCACCCAGAGGCCTCCAAGGAGGCACGTGAAAGTGGTATTTGAGCTTGCATCACTGCAGCGATGCCTCGGCAAGCCACGTTCAAGCTTGCATGAGTGTGCCAGGGTGCTGCAGCCCTCCTTCCAGACCACAGCTAATGCTCTCCGAGAAGGTTACGGCTGCTGGCCAGAGAGCAGCTTGGCAAAAAGAAATCCCACCTGCAGCCTGGCTGCATGCTGACGGATGGGTCAAGCCCATCCCACAGCAATTCTTCCCGCCCTGGACTTCAAAGGCTGAATTTCTTGCTTTTTCTTTGTAAAGACAATTGTCTCCAAAAGTAAATTAAAGAAAAAGGAACAGCATATAACATGCTGTGTTTTCTGTTCTCTTTATAATCACATTCCGCCTCCTGGGGGTCTTGAAGTTCTTTCTGGTGCCAACCAGGCATTAAGGCCCCTTCTTCCAGGTGGTGGAAGCGGCACAGAAAGACAACGCGTCTTTTAGATCAAGTCTAAGTTTAGTAGAGGACAGAACTAAATGTGGTTCATGGACTCTTGGTCCAGCTGCACTTCAGACCACTCGACCAAGGAGATGGATCTACACCTCTCCACCTCAAAGAGGTTTTAGGCATGAGCTTTCATCCCATGGCCATGGCTACAGGACACCCTCTCCATGGCCGTATGCACCTGTAGGAACCACTCTCCAGCATTGAGCTTTTCGAGGTCGGTCCAGTTGAACATAGAGGAGTGCTCGTAGGCCCGTTCTGGAAACAATTCCTCCACGTTTGTTGTTCTCCTGAGTGTCTTGTCATGCATCAGAAACGGTACTCCATCATAGCTGCAAAGACAGTCAGAGGCCCCATTACAGGTGGAGGTGCACAACCATGTACACAGTACTAGAGAAATGCCTGTTCCCACTCCAGCCTCTCTCACAGCTTCACATCAAAATCATTGTGAAGATCTCGACCAGCTTAGCGCATGCCCAGCATCCCCAAGACCAGCTGAAATGAGATGCACCCAGAGGAAAAAGTCTCTTAGATACCTGCTCGATGTTTGCAGTCATTCAAATGCCGACATAACCCTATCCATCCCTCCCTCCTCACCGCTCCACTACCCCCTCAAGAATTTCTAGAGTGCCAAACTCGGGTAGCTTGGACAAGAACACCCACCCTGAATCCTCACGCTAACCAAAGCTTTCTGCAATGTCTGTAGCTCCCAATACTGCCAGAGGTTTTCCATACTCTGTATGCACAGACACACACACAAACTATTCTCAAATTGTTAATAGTAGATGATAAGATTTCCAAAGGCTCTCAGACTATATGGGTACTTAATGTTCACAGGCTTTCAGCAAGATGCAAGGGCTCCAAGCTACCAGAATTGCTCTGAAATTGCCTTTTCCAATTGAAAACTGGTTTCAGGAAGCAGCTATGCTCACATGAGTTGTTAAGTTCATGCACCTTAAAGAAAACCCGCCTCTCAGATGAAACTAAATAGCCAAATGCGTGCCCTGTGGTTTTTAAGCCACCTAGATATTACACAACTGGGAACTACTGTTCTGGGAAACCTAAAAAGCTCTTTAAACTTTCTTCCAGCCCAACTTTCTGTGACTGGATCAGTGGTAACACCACACAGGGCAGTGATGGTTTCTATCAAGGGCAGGGGGACAGTTGTCTGCACTCAGAAATCAAGATAAACCCAGCACAGCCAGCCTGGTTATAATGACATTTTCCAAATCAAGGAGCCCATCTTCATAATAGGAGACTCACATAAAGTCTGGAAAGGAGATGGAGTTAAAATACAAACACCATTTGAATTAGGAGACAACCCAGAGCACCCATCCCCAGAGCTAGAGGGAAAACGAAAAACAATTTTAGATGAGGAGCAAACACTGCCTCAGCTTTACCACTGCCTGCAGAAGTCCCTTATCACAAAGGTCACTGGCATCTTTATTTGCTATTTCTAGCGTGCACTGTGCCAACTACTCCCTCCCCCAACCCAAAGCAACACGCTGACACAGCAATACCATGCTCAGCAGCACACCATGTTGCTGCAATCAGAAGGGTTTATAATAAATACAGAATACAGTTAAACAAAAAAAAAAAAAAAAAAAAAAAAAAAAAAAAAAAAAAAAAAAAAAAAAAAAAAAAAAAAAAAAAAAAAAAAGAAAAGATGCTAAGCAACTGCAGAATTAAGAGCGTGGAGTGTTTAAGGGAGATAGGAGTTCAAGTCTTAACATCTCATAGCAGAGCATCATTAGATACTGCTAAGCCTTAACCACAGCGCGGAAATCCTACGGGGCACTTAACATTCGCTCCCTCCTGTCTAACCCTTCCCCTTACGGAGTCACTCGGCACTACCCAAGGCGAACCACAATGTATTAGCAGGCACAGGTTTGAAAAAATAATTCAGAGACAGAAAGCAGAGCTTTAGAAGAAGAGATGTGGGAGGAGGTAGAAAATGAGAGAGGAGCACGCAGTGAAACTACGCTCCTGCTGCTTGAAGCAAAGTTGGCTTTATAACCAGCGCTGGCTTTATAAGCAGGGCCACCCAGTTTGGGGTGTGTAAGGGGTAGGGGGCCAGGATGTGATAGGTCTGAGTGTATGTCCAAGCAGCCCACCCATGGCTGATATGTGCCTAGAGGAACATGGAGACATCCCAGGAGGGATGGACCCATCCCAGGTGGAGTGGCCCCATCAAGCCACAGGCACAAAGAGCATTTTTTCAAAGGGATAAGGACAGCAATGCGTGTTGTGCCACAAACCTTTCCCAAAGTTGCTGCCAGCTGTATTGATAGCTCAACTTTTTGGTCTGAAGGTCAATGGACTCCTCTTTTTATAAAGACACTTGGGTCTCGTAGAGAGGGCCTCAGATAATTGGGCCATCAAGGGCATTGTTTAAGCTATGGATGCTTGGAGTGCTCCTCTGGGATGGCTGGTGAGTGGCAACATGAAAAGCTCTTGGAGTCCACCTTTCCCCTCCGCCAGTGCTAATGGAAGCCACCAATTCAGCCACCGCATGAGCTGAGTGCTCATTTGTGAGTGTGGACAGTCAAGTAGTTGTCCCTTCACAACAGCTAATGAACGGATTTTTGAAAGAAGAATTGTATTGCAAACATCCCAATTCATCTTTCATCCTTCTACGATGACCTTCCACTCCCTAGGTGGAAGAAATTCCTTTAGTTTTTATATCATTTGCTCTCAAACAATTATACAAAGAACAAAAAAGCACCCTAACAAACTTCAGAAGCCCATCTTCCACCAGGCAAAAATATCTTCCCATCAATACCAGCCTCCAAAGCGGTCAGGGAAAAAGAAAATATCAGCTTTGAGTCTTTTTTGTATTTATAACTGGAACGGAGACAAACTGAGGGATCACCAAGATAAGGCATTACTGTTCCCTTCATGCCACTTCTGCCCTCTTGCACATCTATGTAACATATGCAAAAAACACAATTCAGAAAAGGAACAAGAATATCAAAGAATTATCAGATTCCTGGAACAAAGCACGGTTCTTGAAATAACCCTCTCTAAATCCTCTCTAAATTGGCCTTGTCAATTCAGCTCAACATTTGCCTGCAAGGAATGACTTTCTGACAGTCAACAGTATCACCGGGTTCCTCCTTCCCCCAGCATTAGTGACACGCGAGGGAGGGGAGGAGGAGAAAGGGCTTGCTCCTGGGCTGCTAAATTCTTGTGACAGTTTTGCAAGGCTGGTAAAAACCCTCCTGAAGACTTGCAGTGCAGCGAAGCCAGTCTGGGATCCCTCCGCTCTCTCTGCACCTCGGGCATCCCAGCAAAAGTCACATTTAAGCAGTTCTGTCTCTTCCCAAGGGCAGCTGACTTCAAGCCAGGCTAGAAACCAGGTGCTGTGTTTCACTGCAATAAAGCAAGCTCTAGGATAAACTACCGTCTTCCTGCAAATGAAGATTAGTTTCATGACAAAGGTACCCAGGTTCCCCCACCTGGACAACTTCACCTTTAATCATCATCTCAGTGAAACAATTAGCAGCATCTGTGCACTGCAAATGGAGACAGCAAGGAGTTATCGGATACGTTCACCGTGAGAGCCCTTTTCAATGGGAAAAAGCGGTAACAACCGGACACGCACCAGATAGGAAAGACCCACCAGCATAGTTTGGGCCATCCACAGAGAGTCTCAGACCAACCAGCGCTCTGGCTTACCTCAGTACGACATCAGCTTGGACTCCATACATCTTCTGCTCCACTGCCTTCTGGAAGGACATCAGAGTGTTTTCTGGTGCCAACTATGGGGGGAAAAAAAAAAAGAGAAATGAGGGATTAGTAGTAAGTGGAAAAGTTTACGAAGCGGTGTCAGCGAGGATGCTGGGAGGAAGGTTTAGAGATATTAGGGAGCCGAAACAATCTTGTTTTGCAGATTGCGTAGTGGCCAGTTACGCTGGAGTACCAGCATCCCCCAAGCAGAATTCCACCTTACTGACGTCTGAAGATGACCAATACATTTGACTCCACTGATGGTCTTTCACACACAGGACAGAGTTCAATGCAGAGTTATCGTGACCTGCAGTACCAGAAACCCGGCTAGCTCGAGGCCTGGTGCAAAATTAGTGTATGACAGATTTGCTCACCAGCGTGGTGCCCCAAACAGTGGCTTGCTGGAGATCCCAGAAAGTGATTGTTAATGGGATGCCAATTCTCTATCCACAGGTTACATCTAGAGCGATCTAAAACACCTTAGCAGTTCTTCATTCTCCTACTTTTCTATGCAAACAGTGATTACGATGCCATTATAGAAAGAAGAAAGTCCATAAACAAGGATATTATCCATGGAGAACAACTAGACCACAGGTTCTGTAGCACACATTTTATTTCCACATCTACTCATTCAATAGTCACCTGTTACTCAGTCTAAAAATCAGATGATTTCTCTAATAACAAATGTTCTAGTTAGTTTTAACAACAATTAAAAAAAAATAGCCTTAAGCCTAGAAAATTTATCCTTATGGCTATCACAGATAAGAACTCAAATTTTATTTCAAATTCCTTCCTGTTGAATGGAGCAGATGGTAACAGCATTTGGGCTTGTTTAAAAACAATACAGTGTGAAGACAAATACTTTGTTTTTTTACAAAACCAGTACAGTAGAGCTAGCCCCAAAATGTCCATAAACCAACAACAGGCAGACCAGGAAAAAAAAATAAAAAAATAGACAACTATGGAGAGAAAAACTGGCAGGCTTTCTGCACTGAAACACGAGTACATCAAAATAAAACTATTTTTAAAAATCATTTTCTTTTTTCCAGTTTTGCTTTCAGGTTTAGAGCACCTGTAACATCCTGTTTTTCCACTCATCTCTGCCACCACCAGGATCAGTAAAGTTTCCATCAAGACACAATGAGCATTCACAACCCACGATTTTCAAGAATTACTCAGGGTTTGGAAAGAGGAATAATTAAGAACAAAGGCCTAAATGCACCATGCAAGCAACATGCACAATAAATACAAAAAACTGCTCAAGAGGTTAAGGTGTCTCTGAGAATCGTTTGTTTTCTTACTAGCTGATGACCTTACATGCTCAGGTCAGCAAAGCTTTGGGGTAAAATAATCAGACCAAACGCCAGCAACGACCTTCACATAGCTCTGGTATCTCTCTACTGAATTCCTCTGGCTCAAGCCACGCATCAATACTAGCTCATTTTTCTTTTTGTTCAAAGGCAACACAGAGGCACGTTATCTTCCTAAAAAAGCTCCCAGTCAAAGCCTGGCTTGCCTAGGAGAAGACAGAGGCAACGCTCCCATCACACCCCCTTGCACGGCCCAGCGCTGGGTCGCGCAAGGTCGGGCTGAAAGAGCTTTTTGCAATATATTCACGATGCCCAGAACTGTCAGCAGGGAGCAGCAGCCACATAAAGATCTAAAGAACCCATCCAGGCAGACCTGCTCCATCTCCTTGGGTTGCTTTCAGCATCTCAGGTTTCCGCCCCGCAAGTAGCTCAGGTTTCTTCAGGATAACAACGCAAGGTGATCCTCTCTCTACAGGGCAATGCTCAATATTTGCTTTCAGGGACTGCAGCAATCACAAGGAAATAAAGTGTGTAGTGTTCAAACTAGAGACAGCTGAACTAGGGACACCAAAGGGCGATGCAAGACCACCAGCCTAAGTCAGGAAGGGTTGCTGGGTGGATGCAACGCAAGTCCCAGCTCAAGATGTGACACCACATCAAGCAGCAACTGAACCCAGGCCCCTGTAAGCAGTCTCGCCAGGGATGCGGACATACAAGGAATAGAAAAGCAAAGTGTGTTGAGTTGTGAAACATCTCTCAGGCTAAGGGAGACTGGAAAGGGCAGGTTGGACTACCTCCACTAAACATTCAACGTAAAACCCTTCGGCAAGGGTAGGACGACACTGCTGTTACCCACCTACACAATGAAGAGCTCATATTGCACGAATCAGGGCTAACGAAGGCAAACAAGCGTGGCTACAACAGTATTCCACCTCTGTAGAGGTGGACCAGCATGACCAAGGTCTTCTCATATCTTACCTATACACCAGACTCTGGCACAGCAGAATCCAACCCAGAGAGGGCACAGGCTCTGCTGTTTGATAACAAGATTAAAACCACTTCTTGCCTCTTTCCAGTGTATTTCAGTCTCTGCAGGGCCAGGGTCAAGCCTTGCTTGGACACCAGCCCTCCTGAGATGCAGCTGGTTTGAGATGCAGAGGAAGCTTTAACCTAAATGACAGGGGAACCCCAGCCTCCACTGCTGGAGGCACTCGAAGCAAACGCAGAGCCAAACAAATCTGAGGTAGTAAGTCAATACGCAAGACTGGACTGGGGAAAAGTAAATTTAGACAGAGCTGAGACTGCACGCAGAGGTGATAGATGAAAGCCGAATAGGAAAACAGCCTTTTGGGGATGGGATTTCTGTTTTGCCAGACTGGACAAATTTAGCCATGTAAAGATAGTAGTGATGTTCGTGCATCCTGGGGGCAGTGCTAAACCCCCGTATGGGTTGCAGTGAGCTAAAAACTGAGATTTTCTTTGAGTTTTAAAACTCAGCGCACTGTTACTGTCCCATCCTCAGCACTCAGACAGATGCCACTGAGCTTAACCCCATGGAGAGACGACCTCAGCCCCAGGAGTGGAATATCTCACTCCTGCCTCATCTCTAGCCCCTACAGACCACACTTCACCCTTCAAAAAGGGCAAAACTTAACTGGACTCCACCAGGGCTGCATGTGGCTGCTCAGATACAAGGCACATCCATTCCTTTCCCAGGAACTTGATCCCAAACACTAGTTAAATAAACTTACAAAACTCTGGCCAGATCTGTGTTGAAAACTGCAGCTGTGCAGAGGAACCAGCATTTTAAAACTGTTCTAAGGACAGGCTGTCACTTAAGGTCCGACCATCCAAATACACACTTAGGAGCTGTAACGTCATCTTCATCACAACACCACTGGAAGTGAAGAGCATCCTCTTGAAGAGCATCACAGATGGATGACCATCTCCGGCTGCTCTGAATCAGCAAACAGCACGGACGTCAAGCAGAAGTGCTCTCCGTAACACCGTGCCCCACGATGGCACGTGCTGGCTAGCCTCTATAACACCACAATGCTATTACTTGACAGCCCAATTCCGTGTATGTCAGAAGCTTTTGAAAAGTAGATTACAAGCCTTCCAGGCAAAGACGTCATCTCCTTGCAAGCTTGTGGTGGGTAAGCTCCTAACCTGGCCAGAGCCAGTCACCCCGATATAAATAATTGCATCTCCAAATGAGTCCATCATCGATGCAGAAAGCTGTCCTCCCCGGTTTCTAAACCTCTCGCTAGATCCTAGCCTTGAGGGGACTGAACAAGCCACTCACACCAATGACATAAACCAGTAAAGGTCAACCAGAAAGCCAGGAAAGCAAATTTAACCCTGTCCCCTAAAAGCAGATGCTGCCTGTTCCTGGAGGTTCCCCTGGCACCTCTTTGGAGGCAGGATCTCTCTGTACCAGGAGTTCATATCCCTTACAATGTGAGGGTTTTGTGAAAAGAGAGAATCTGAGTAACAGATATTTCCATCATCCCAGCCTGTCTCTGTCTCCCTCCAAGAAAGAGGGAGCTGAAGCCCCAAATTCAGCACGTTTGGGGCACAGATGCATCCAAGCAGGACAGCTGCTGGTACAGAAATTAGTGCTGATTTTTTTTTTTTTTTAAAGGTTTTACAGCAAAACTGCAAGAACTAAATAAATGCATAATCTTTCTGCTTGTATTTCTCTCTGCCTCCCTCCAGTTTCTTTGATGGGTTTTCTTCCTTGATATAATACATTCAGGCACGTTATGTCTAAAACCCAAATCCAGGTTTGCAGTGATCCAGTGCAACTGGACACAACCAATTTCTTAAGAAACCGGTGCTGAAGTGAAGGAAGCCCTGGGGCACAAAGCAATTATTTCATTCCAAAACCTCTGTCCTACATAAACCATGCCAACATCCACTGAAAGCCACAGACAGACCCCGTGCAGGGTCTCTAGAAGCCGTTCCTTCTCTTCGCACTTGGTTTGATAGGCTCATCCCTCGCAAAAATCAGGCTACTATTCATTTCTTCCTACTACAGAGACACAGCAAGTAATTTCTAGAAAATTACCCACGAATGAACTCATTTTGACTCTTTTTGTGCTTAGAAGTCAATTGCAAATGCTTTCAAATGGAGTCAAGAGCTTTGGACCTTCCTTAACGAAGATTATGAAAGCGTGCTAGTTAGAGCAGCATAGCCTTGCTACAGTTGGACATCGCTACGCTGTATTTTTCCCCTAATTAGCCACCTTGCCAGGCCTTAAAAAAAAAAAAATCACTGCACCATTTGCATGTTGGGGAGGCTAACGAAGAAGCTTGCACAGAAGAACCGTATTTGTTCCAAACCAGCTGCAGTCACTGCACACCTCTGGCATTGTGCGCTGAGCTGCACTGAAGGATTTGATCTTTGCTTCACCAACAAGCTTTAAGGATATTTTCTCATCCTTTGGGAAACATGAGCATAATTTTAATTTATTTTTTTTTTAATTTTCCCGCCCTTATCTCTCTCCTTTCCAGTATCAATCGCCTCGTGAGCCAATCATTGGACTAAAAACACAAGGCATGATTAGGGCGATACCTGAAAAATGGTATTTTCCTTCCTGTAAAAAGGAAGTTCCTGCCCTTTGGAAGTTCCCTGTGTGGGACTTAGCGTGGGATCTGCCAGCACATTGGATTTCAGCATTAGGGTCCCATCATGCCAGGTCACTATGAGGCAATAAGGA